AATCTAATAATCTAAAATCTAATAATCTTTCTAAATTTTTTTAATATTCTAAGAATTCTTTTAATAAGGTTAAACTTATTTTATTATTTATTATGGATATATAAAATTTCAATGCTAACTTAAATTTTAATTTCTTATATTCTTGAGGTAATCTACTAGTAATAGGTTTTCTCATTTATAGAGTTTTAAGTAAATCTTCAAAATCTAGTAATGTTTGAGAATTTATAATATCAAGATCTGTTATTTATCTACATTTGGGTTAAAAGGCATATCATATTTTAAAATATTCATTTTTCTAATTTATCTATAATATCATATATATCTTTTACTATTATAGATCTTATTATTCCCTCAGCAAAATTTTACATCATGTTTTCCTTAAAGCATTTTAATATTTTTTGAGATGCATTTAATTGTTCTTGATATCCAATCTCATCAATTTCATTTTCATTTTCAAATTCAAATTCCTTTTTTTTTTTCCATAAATTTCTTAATATTATATGGTCCTCTTTTAGATTTGAGTTTTTTTTATAAGTTTTATCGGTCATTTTTATCATAATAATTCTTTGTAGGTCTTGATTGTATTCTTTTCAAGTGATAGTGACTTAGATGCAATTATTATTTTCGGGGTTATTTTAGGTAGTTTCAAACTTTAAAACAGTCAAATGCTATTTTGAAAAGGTTATCTTTAAATTTTGGTTATTTTCAATTATTTCCCTGTTGTTCTTCCTGGTTATTGCCCCAAGAATGAACTGCACAATCATTTGAACGAAAGAATAAAAGGAAAAGAGGATAAATAAAATAAATGAGTCACAAGCAAGGTTTCAGGAAATGATTTGGAGACTCGAAATGGTGAAGTGCAGAACCCAGCGCGTCGTTGCCTTTTTATAAAGGACAAATTCGAAAATGCAACTCTCCCAAATCGTTGTGCAAGGTACAGATGCACCTCTTCCCAATAATTGTCTGTAATAGCAAAACGCGCAACTCTCACTTCCTCATACAGCCATGGTTTGAAATTTTTGGAATCGCCATTTAGTGCCAGCCATTATCCTAGTCACACCCTGTCACATCTGCCTCCAAAAGCTGAAGTTCTTTACATAATAAATCAGAGAATAAGCACACAGAAAACGCTGCCAGAATATACACAACACAGGTGGATCCTCGCATTTTTGGCAATATTAAATTTCACGTGGGGCCTACCTCCTTGTGACTTTTCAGGAGATTTTTTTTGTACAAATGAAAAAAATTCTATTTCTAACTAATGTAAGAATTGTTGACAATATCAACCTTTGGTGTACAAACTCTCGATATCCCTAATTAAAAGTTAACTATAAACTTCATCCCTAATGAAATTCATTCTGCAAAAAGCTACATTTGCAATTACACATCAACAGTAATAGCTCAGCCCATCCATGCATCAACTCGATATATTCCATCGTAATTGTGAGACGTCGTGATTACTGATTTTATTAGAACGACGTCATCACTCCAGCATTGACCAATTCCATGAGGACACGTGACATAATTGGACAAAGAAGTCGGCTCGCTACTGCTCATCATGATGTCCGAATAATTCTCATTGCTAAATGAGAAATAGGGATGACAAAATGGCTCGTCGACTTGAGCCATCCGCGGCTCGGATTGAGCCTTGTTTTGGGGCAAAGGCTAGAGCCTGAGCCTATAAAAAATTATTAAAAAAAAATTTAGCAGTAGTTGCCTACTGCCTGCCCACCGAGTCGGCTTGGCCCGCTAAGTCTTGCGCTGAAAACTCAAGTTGAACCTCAATTTTTTTGGCCGAACTTTTGCTTGGTTGGGGAAAAAAAAAGCTCAAACCTTTTTTGTTTGAGCTGAGCCTGAACTTCGAGTTTCGACTGGCGACTTGGCTCGACTCGTTGACACAGCTAGAGACAAATGATCTCCTTTATGGACCAAGACTTGACTCATCTTCCTCTTTTGTACTACTATACTTTCAATAAAAAATATCTCTTTATTATTCTAGTTAATTACCTTGCTTTAATTTCCAATTAAGTTGATCAAAACTGATCACTTCGGTTTTGAACGTCAACAAGGGTGATTCGAGACAATGCCTGATAAGTAAAGTAGAGTTACGTAAAAACGATTATATAGGTTGAATTTCGTTTGATTTAGATAAAGTTATGGTATTTATGAATTAGTTTCAACGTCCTCAAAATTTGACTACAACCCAAAGTAGAAATTACTGATTTTTCTATGAACGATCAATGAACTATTCAAGAATTGAGAAATATATGGCATGTAGATTGGATGAACAACGAATTCATAAGTCATTTTCACTATTAGATTAAGGGCTCAATTTTAAGTTATTTATATTCTATCTGGCTGATCGCCTTAATTAACATTGAATTTCATCATTAACAAATTAATTTTTAAGATTATTTTCAACTATGGTTCATAAAATATATGGTTAAATTGATTATTGATTATGAGTTAATTTTTTATCCAGTGAAATCAAACATAAACTGAAGTCAACAATTAAAATGGGATTGCGGTCCATACCTCCTCCAAACCACACCACAGCCTCACCCTCATGATCCTTTACCAAGCCACCATCCTGCTGCCACGTGGCAAATCAGATATCCAAACTGCAACACATCACAACCAAGCTTCTCCATCCCCGACACTTATCACAAACTCCATACCTCATCTCAAATTGAAAATTGCATCATTCATCCGCAATCTATTGTCTGAACAACAAGGCGGTCTTCAATCAATGCAAAGTAGCAAGTTGATCCTTAGCATTTAACTATAGCTATAAAATCTGTCTTCAAAGGCCAAAAAAGTCTAAGCCCCCGCTTTTTAGGGATTAAAGTCAAATTTCTTATAGATTTTAATAAAAGTTAATGAAATATATGATTGTAAAGTTGTGAATTTCATGAAATATGTTATTGAAATTCATTGTTGACTTTTATTAAGATTAAAATTTAGATTTTAATCCATACCAAATAGAGACTAAATTTTTATAAAACCGTTATTTAGTTGTCATGGAAACACTTCTCGTTTAGAATTTTTAGAGCCTGACCCAAGTTGAAAAATCGAAATCTCCTTCATAAGCGTAACACACGAAGATTTGATAAGATTCATGTGATTTCTATACTCGAGAACTAATTATGCAATTATAATAAAAGATTAATAATGAATTTGCTCCTTTTCAAATGTTGAAGACTAATGGTGCAATGATTTCTAATAAATAAAATATTTGTAGAGTTTTATAGAGAAAGAAAACTCAATTTACAACTACATCCTCAAAAAAAATTGAAAATCCCAAGCACGTCCTCTCTCTCTCTACCTTAACATCACCTCCAACTTTGTCCAAAACAAAGGGTAGACACAGAATCCCATAAAAAGTGACACCATCAAATTGAACAGCTTCCTATCCAAACAAAACTGCCTTCTTTAATTCTGTGTCTCACAATTTTTCATTAATTTGTAGAAATTATAAAAATTCACACAATTCATGTCTGAATAATATTCCACTCCACACCATTTCTTAGAGAAAATGGCAGTTTGCACAGTGTACACAGTTCAATCTCTCAATTCTACTTGTTCAATCTCAAAACCCACAAAAACCCACTTGGGATTTAACCAAAAACAGCTAGTTTTCTTCAAGAAAACCACCACCAGAAGAACCACCACTGAAATAACATGCTCCGCCGGCGATACGGTGGTGATTGGTTTAGCAGCAGACTCTGGCTGTGGAAAGAGCACCTTCATGCGGCGGTTGACGAGTGTCTTCGGCGGCGCGGCGGAGCCACCCAAGGGCGGCAACCCTGACTCCAACACACTGATTAGTGACACCACTACTGTGATTTGTTTAGATGATTATCATTCACTGGATAGAACTGGGAGAAAAGAGAAGGGAGTTACTGCACTTGATCCCAGAGCAAATAATTTTGACCTTATGTATGAACAGGTTAAGGCGATCAAAAGTGGTGTCGCTGTGGAGAAACCTATTTATAATCACGTCACTGGTTTAATTGACCCTCCTGAGTTGATCAAGCCTCCCAAGATTTTTGTTATTGAAGGATTGCACCCAATGTAAGTATTTTTCATTGATGAACCATCTTGTCTTAAACACATCTTGTGTTTATATACTCTTGTTGCTACAAAAGGTGAATAACAAGTAGGTAATAAGATTGGGACACCAATTAAATTACATTGGCATGCTTCGTTTTTCTTTTCTTGGTCATTAATTTTAGGGTCACCCCCAACCTTTCCAAAGGTTGCAAACTTTCCCCTAACCTTTCGTTTGTTACAACCGTCACTCCAAAACTTTCAAAACGTTGCAACTGTAATCCATCCATATTTATATTAGTTGACCAAAAAAATTGAATTTTACCATATTTTTAATATAGAGGCTAGGGTTGGGGTGAGAGAAAAAAATGTACGTTTTTTCCTTTTATCTGTTTTTTCTTGTTGTTTTTTGGTTTTTTAATTTGATTATTTTAGAAATATGGTCAAACTCAATTTTTTTAGCCAACTAATAGAAATATGAATGGATTTCATCCATTTGGACTTCAGTTGCAAAGTTTTGGAGTGACAATTGCAATAAATGAAAGGTTAGAAAACGTTTGCAACCTTTTGAAAGATTTGGGGATGCAACTACAATTATTCCTTAATTTTATGGTTATTTGGAAATAAAAGATGAATATAAGACATCTTAAAAATCAAATAGGGTGCGTTTGATTGCAAGAATGAAACTTTCATTTAAAGAAAATAAAAGTTCTATGCAATTGAATTGTACACTTAAGAGTCATTAGTACAATCAGAATTATAATGTTTTGTTAACCTTAGTCGCATGGTTAAGAAATGATTAAGTCTTGTTTGGTGGTGATTAAAAATAGATTTTTAATGGATTTTAATAAAATTTGATTAAATGTGTGGTTAAAAAGTTTTGAATTTCATGAAATATGTGATTAAAATTAATTATTGATTTTGACTTGAATTAAAATTCAAATTTTAATCCCTATTAAACATGCGCTAAATATATTAATATCTGCTTCTGGGCCACATCTCATGCTAAGAGGCTTGCACTCCTTATTGCTTAGTTTTTCTTTTATGTTTTCCTTTTCACTTTAATTATTGGTTAATTCATTTATCTAGGATTATAATTATTAATTTTTGTTCCAAAATATAAACAAACTTTTACCCTTATTTCAAGCTCATAATATAGAGACTAGTAAAGGAGAGAATAATAAATTAAAATTAATGTGATTGAAGTTGAGCAGTGCATGACTGTATTACACGTTTTAGTATTAAATGCATGTGAAATTGATCTCTTGGCCTCAGTGGATAGGATAAAAACTTCTCACTGCTGATGTGGTAAGAGAACCTTAATTATAGTTCTCACCACTATATCAACAGTATAATTTTATCATGTCCACTGAGCACAGGAGATCAAGCATGTAGATGTATGGATTCTAATAATATTATTCAATTTTTTCCTTGATCACAAATTGACCTTTGCAACGAGATTAACGCGACTAGTTTGATGCAAATTTTTAATGTTATAATAATATAATAGGTAGATTGAATATTTATTCAATCATTTAAATATTTATGGCGAACCATTTTATGAAAACACACAAGACTTTAGTCGAGATTTCTTCATTATAGTGAAAGATATATCGACACACGAATTGTATATTGATTTTTGTATTTTCTTGTGTTTCATCTTGTTAACGATCTTGATAACACGGGATTAAGTGTTCTATCCATGGCATTTAATAGATATTGTTTGTGATGCTAAAGAATTACTCAAATTGACATCAAATATATCCATGATAACATCAAATTTGTCATGATAACATAGGTATGATGCCCGTGTGAGAGAACTCTTGGACTTCAGTATCTATTTGGACATTAGCAACGAGGTTAAATTCGCATGGAAAATTCAGGTAATATGATTGTGATTAAGTTTCAAAAATTTGATATGGAGGCAGAGAGCTTGATAATTTTCTTAATACAGAGGGACATGGCTGAGAGAGGACACAGTCTTGAAAGCATTAAAGCTAGTATTGAAGCCAGGAAGCCAGATTTTGATGCTTATATTGGTAATCTTTCTTGCCTCAAACTCTATGCACGCATAGACGCAGATGCAGATATGCAAAACCTAATTCAATTGTCCACTTATCGTCTCTTCATCATATTGCAATTTGTGATAAGGTTAATGGGGACTTCGCAAGGGCGGGAGTTCCCAAGGCGATCGAGTTTTTTTTATTAGGGGATATAATCCAAGCCCTCTGATCAACCTTCAAAATTAGCCCAAGTCGGTACATTGTTCTTAGATGAGAACTTTCACTAAAAATGAGAATTTGTGTCTACTATGCTTGTTTTGTGATTGCTTTTATAATGGTTTTTGTTATCGAAAGACGAAAGTAGAGATGAGGATTTAATCCATAACAATGCAGACGTCCACATGCACAAGTATATATTCGATAAAGCCGATTTTTGATCTCTCTTTCATGGCGCAGATCCACAAAAGCAATATGCGGATGCAGTTATTGAAGTGTTGCCAACACAACTCATTCCTGATGACAATGAAGGGAAGGTCTTAAGAGTAAGATTGATAATGAAAGAAGGGGTGAAATATTTCAACCCTGTTTACCTCTTTGATGAAGGTTCCACCATTTCATGGATACCTTGTGGAAGAAAGTTGACATGTTCGTACCCGGGCATCAAATTCTCTTACGGCCCCGAAACCTACTTTGGCCACGAGGTATGATGCCTCATTCGATACTCCAAATGTTGTTGTAGTGATTGTGGTGTTGTTTGTAATTGAGTAAAAAGGAAATAGGATTAATCAAGAATCGAGTCAAATGTTTGTAAACATAGCGATCAAGATAAAGAGGGAACCACATATATAACGTGCAATTGCGCTCTTGGTCCTGGAAACTCGAACTGCATTCGTAGACAGAAAGGGACTTAATCGACGTGTTTGAATACTTACTTTCATACTCGTAATCATCTCAACTGAACATGACGGCGAATTTTGCCATAATTCCTCGACTGCTCATTAATTTCCATCCTTTTTTTT